GCCCAGGTCCTAATGGGTGTCCATACCCATGTGCATATGGCCAGCACTAATTGGATTCTGGGTTAGCAATAAATAGACAACAGACAAATACATACTTTTAAAGGGAGTGCATGATGGGCTAGAGAGATGACTCAGTGGTTAAGAATACCATTCTTCTCTCAGAGATACTGGTAATGGTTCCTGGCACCCATGCTAGGTGACTCATAACCACCTGTAACTCAGGTTCTAAGGGATCCAACATCTTCTGGCCTACACTGCCCTTGATGGACATAACCTCATGCAGGCACACACATATACATAAAAATAAATAAATGAAGCTAAAAACTAAAACCATGAAGTTGGAATGGAGATGTATTGGGGGGGGCTTGGAGGAGGATTGTAAGTGAAGAGTAGGGGTTAGGTGTGATGGAGATACATCGTGTACATTATACATTTTTCAAAGAATAAATAAAAAATGTTATTAGAGCCAGAACCTGAAAGCAACCTAGCTGCCCCTCAACCGAAGAATAGATATAGAAAATGTGGTACATTTACACAATGGAGTATTACTCATCGGAAAAAAAACAATGGAATCTTGAAATTTGCAGGCAAATGGATAGAACTAGAAGGAACCATCTTAAGTGAGGAACCCAGTCATAGAAAGACAAACATAAGCTTTCATCCAGTAGCTGATGGAAGCATAAGCATAGATCCACGGCTAAGTACTGAGCCAAACTCCTGGAATCCAGTTTCAGAGAGGAAGGAGTGACGAACAACGGGGTCACGGCCATGCTGGGAAAACCCACAGAAACAGTTGACCTGAGCAAGTGGGAACTCATGGACCCCAATCTAACAGCTGGGGAACCAACTAGGACCAAACCAGGTCCCTTGAATGTAGGTGCTAGCTAGGAACACTGGGCAGTCTATGGGGCCTCTGACAGTGGAACAAGAATGTATCCCTAGTGCAGGAAAGGACTTCGGGAGCCCATTTCCCATGGAGGGATACTCTCTTGGTCTAGATACACAGGGGAAGTCCTAGGCCCTGACCCAAAAGACTTGAAAGATTTTTTTTGGTGATCCCTCATGGAAGGCCTCACCTTCGTTGGGGAGTGGATGAGGGATGAGAGGATGGGAGGGAGAGGAAACTGAGATTGATATGTAAAATAAGATTGTTTCTAATTTAAATAAAATTTATAAAAATGTTATTAGGATTAGTTGAAAGTGGATATTTCTCACGCAATGCTGTTAAGAAGAATTTTTTTGTTATCAGGGCAGCAAATTTATTACATAATCTTTTTCCTTTCATTTTTCCTTCAAAGAGAGAGTCAAAAGAGAAACACAAATAGGGCAGTGTGACTAATACCACTGGGTCACAGATAGAAAGATGGGTAATCAAGTCGATATGTGATTTTGTGTGACATTTAAGTACAACTGTATGAATGATTCCCTAATTATCTTATTTTACTTGAAAAAGTTTGAAGGCTAGTGTGGAAAATAAAAACATTTCAAGTACAATGCTAAAAAAATAGTCTCCTTAACCATTTAGTGAGTTTTGTATATGTGTATAGTTTGTTTTGGTCAGTTTCTCTAGGTAAACATTTCCCGAACAAACATCAGACAGTTACCTCCCCAAATTAGGAAAATCTGAGAGATTTTAAGAGTCAAAGAGGTAGATGAGAAAAATGAAACGGTGTTCGGGACACAAACAGGACAGTTGCTGGTACGAACTCACATCAGTTGTGACAGTGTGCAAGTAACCAACACAAGCTCAAGTCAGAAAAGATGGAAGGAGGAGCTGGCCACAGAGCCTAGCTGAGGAGCTTGTGGAAGTTGGTGACTGGGAGAGTCATTTTCTTCAAGAATGTGGCCCCTGAGTGGCTTCTTGTGCTCTGTCTCAGAGTCCGACACCCATGCATATGCTGGCAGTGTCAAGTGGACAAACAACCAAACTGCCATGATGTTGGGAGAGAATAGTGGTGGTAGGGACAGGGAAGGAATTAGAGTAGAGAGAATGGGGAGTGGACATGATCAATGCACCTTGTACAAAATTCTCAAACAGTAAAAGAGAAGCAATGAAAATACATGTCTTGGATATTTGATAACCTTTTCTTT